ACTAATGTATTTTTAAAGTATCTTGATTTATGATTTTCTTTGTCCTGTTACTCCATGAAACTGTTCCCAGCAGTTTCACCTAAATTTTTATTCCTGGGCCATGACCACTCATATTTGGCTGCAGAATAAATTGTGTCTTATTCTCTGAGATGAGACAGTTTTGCATTAATACTTGAAGCAACAATGAATGATTGGAAATCATTCCAAAGTTCAACTTCTGAGAGATAGTTACTCCCATACTGAAAGTGACAATGTGGTAAACCAAAGGATTATGGACTGGCAATACCCATGAAAGAACTAAAAACATAAAGAACTAATGAACTGGATTCTGGAAAGTGAGAGATTTTTTTTTTTTAATGAGAAAAACCCTGTGACTGTTTTCACTTCTGATAAAATCTTGGGAGGAGAAATCTATCATAAAAAAAAATGAGGAAAAAACGCTAACAGTCATATGTGGGCTGTCATAACATATTAGAGGAGCCTTCACAACAGAGTGGTCTGTGCATATCCCCAGAATGCAAATGAAAGGCAGGGTGTGGAGCCAAGAACCTGTAATCCCAGCATTAGGAGTGGGAGCGGAGATAGGGGGATCTCAGAAGCTTGCTGGCCAGCCAGGCTAGCCAAATCAGTGAATTCGGGGTTCAGTGAGAAATGCTACTCCCAAAATAAAGTGGAAAGTAATTGAGATAGATAATTGATTTTGGCTTCTGAACACACACACACAAGAAGCAAAACAAATTTTGTTTTGGGTACTATACTTAGAATATTACATCTAAAAAGCATAATTGTTAAATATTATATCAAAATATAATTTATGAATATAACATCAAAATTAAATATAATCATGCAAATACAATCTGTACAATGAAAACTATAAAATATTCTTTAGAGAAATTAAAGAGCCACATGAATGCGAAGCTGTAACAAATTCATAGATTGACAAATATTGTTCATAAGTTTACTGCTAAATTTTACCTATACTTTAAACTTAATATTAAAATATAAACAGATTTTTAAGGAATTTGACATAGTGCATATATGATTATGTGGAAAGCCCAGGATCTTATCCATAAATATTTATTTAAAATTTTAATATTATTTATTTATTTCCCTGAGGCAAGATCATTCTATGTTGCACAGGATGTCTTTAAACTCCTTGGCTCAAGCAAACATCCAACATCAGAGATTATTAAATCTTAAAAATGCATATTTATGGTATACACAGTTGCAGTAGGGCTCAAGACCTTAGTGGTCCCTGAGACCTTAGGACAACTGGCTCCATGGTGGAAGTACCATTCAGGCTAATGAAACTCAGCATACAGACAGCACCACCTGCCCAAACTAAAACAAAGGCCTAATCCATCAAAGCCCACGGTTCTAGGAAAGTCTCTAAATGTACTACCTTTGCTTTTGGCTTCTCTAGTTCTGCTTCTGGCTAACTGTTCTTGTCAACACAGAACATGGTTTTGTGCTGAAAAACTCAACCTTAGAAAGGCTCAGTGCTACACTGGGATCCCGAACACCCAGTGTAGTCATAGGCTGACTAATAAAAGACTTTCCATTGGCTTAAACCCTTGTCCTGGCAGTCTTCTCTGGTGAATACAACATTGTGATATTTGGATAAATTACAGAACTGTACAGATGCATTTGCTAATCTGTGCAGGAAATTTTTTTGTTTAGTGTTCTAACTGTTTGTTGTGGCCCTATATAGCAGAAATATTTGGACAGGCAATATGTAAAAATTTATGGGCATTTAACAAAGGAATCACTCCATAATTTAGACAAATCAGACTCCTCCAGTGGTGTCAAAAAGACCATGCCATGACCACAGCCTGACAGGAACAGAGCAGGCCCAGATCTATCCATGATAAACACTGGGTATGATTCCCAGCCCCAAGATATCCTGGGCATCTGCATGTTACCTATAGGACCTCCATGGGCCTCTGACGGATCTAGCATGTGCATAGAAGCTGCCTGTAGCTAGAGTTTTCCTGCCTGGTCCACAGTCAGGACAAATCTCTCTCACCTGCCAGTCCCACAGCTGCTCAAACTCGACCAAGTAAACACAGAGACTTATATTGGTTATAAACTGTATGGCTGTGTCAGGCTTCTTGCTAACTGTTCTTACAGCTTAAATTAATCCATTTCTATTAATCTATACCTTGCCACATGGCTCGTGGCTTACCGGCATCTTCACATGCTGTTTCTCATCATGGCGGCTGGCAGTGTCTCTCTGACTCAGCCTTCCACTTCCCAGCTTTATTCTCCTCCTTGTCCCGCCTACACTTCCTGCCTAGCCAATGGCCAATAAGTGTTTTATTTATTGACTAATCAGCAACACATTTACCATACAGAACATCCCACAGCAGCTGCCTCCCAATCCTTCCCCTTGGACTCCATGGAACTATCCAGACCATAGTTTTGGAGGGCCCTATAACCAGGTGCAATATGTCCATGACTGCCTTTGAGCAGACTACCAGCAAGTCATCCAGCCTGTTCTGTGAGTGGCCCACACCCAGTGCAGAGTAAATTACACACAGAATTACCCCAGCCCCGAAGACCAAGAGAGAGGCCTGCACACAGAGACTGCTCCTTACCAAGGTTCCCAGGAGACCAGCTCTATCACACACCACCTAACAAAGCTGGAGCTTCTGGGGAATCCTTGGAACATCTTGCAGAGTTAAGACCACAGGGTCTGCAGGCTCCATCCACAGCTACTGTGTTTAGACTCCATAGCAACCACCTAGGAACCTCCAAACCCAAGGAACTCTAAAAACTAGCAATTTGCCAGAGGAATTACACAATGTCTTCATCACTCATTCTACAAACAGCTGCGGAGGCGGTGAAATTTGTGAACTTTTTGTTGATGAATGGCTTCAAACTGCAACTGACATATATGAGATAGAATCTGAGGTACTGATATCATTAAATAGTTGGAGCACTGCCTTAAAAATAAGACTGTAATAATAGTCATAGCAATCAGCTCCAAAGCAAAGCCCTAAATGCAAACAGGATATGGAAGGCACTGCATCTCAGCTGGACAAGGATGAGCATGACTTACTTACTAGGCACATTCATGGAATGGTGCAAATTGATTTCATAAAACAAGGAACTATGAATTTCAGATTCATCCCTGTGCTCTTCTCAAATGCCAAGAAGGAGCATATGCCCACCTAACTTCAGAACACTCATGTTTCCAGCTCATCCAAGAATGAAAATCCTGCTGTAGCTGTCCCAAAAGGAAAAGCATGTGGCTCCTTCCTGAGGTCCTCTGCTCACCCTTCAGGTGATAACCTTGTGGCATCAGTAATCTCCCAATCAGTAGGACCCCATTTTCACATTGTTCTTCTAGCTGAGGCTGGGTCATGGCATTCAAGGCTATTTCTCAATGTCTCCTGGGGGTATTCAGGGCCCAGAACACCTCTTCTGCAGAGTTCCCTGTCTCCTAATACTTTGAAGGCTCTGTATTTCCTGCCTTTGGAAAGCACACACGGTGTCCATGTCCTCATGAGTCTGAGTTGTCCACACTGGGCTTCCAGGACTTAGTGAGCAGATACTACAGGGGATGGCAGCAAACACATATGACCACAAACACTCTGTTATCACCACAACTACTTTTATGTGTTTGACAGATGCTTGTGTGTCCTCAGACCAAACTGATTCATGTTCAAATAATAAAATGAAATTTAAAGCAATTTTACTTAGAGTAATTGAGTCTCTGATAGAGACACTAAGCAACCATGAAGACTTGCACTGACTTATGAAAACTATCATATAGACCAGTTTGTTACTTAAAATCTGGAGTGAATCAAGTTAGACTAAGGTGATAGGTGGTCTAGGAAATATATGGCTGTATCTGACAACATGGACAAGAATTCTGATCATAATCATGTATAATTAGCATGCTTGGCCAAGGTTTGCTACTGGAAAGGAAGCTTCAATAATCAAGTGAACAAGATGCTTCATCCAATGGATGTCAATCAGCCTTTATTCAGATCAACTCTAGTGTTTGTTTAATGAGCCAGCCATGATGAAGACATGAAAGTTTATGAGATAAAAAAATGGATTTTTCCCTCCTTCCTTCTTCTCTTTTTTTTTTTTTTTTTTTTTTTTTTTTTTCGAGACAGAGTTTCTCTGTGTAGCTTTGCGCCTTTCCTGGATCTCGCTCTGTAGACCAGGCTGGCCTCGAACTCACAAAGATCCACCTGCCTCTGCCTCCCAAGTGCTGGGATTAAAGGCGTGCGCCACCACCGCCCGGCCCTTCCTTCTTCTCTTAAGCCACTGATTGCACAGCTGCCATTAGTGAGGACTAAACATCCACAGATTTTCCACTATTACTTATTATTTTGGATCACTTCTTCCACACAGAGAAGAGCAATTCATCTTCACTGAGTTAGGTAATTAACATAAAACCATATCTTGTTGAGGAAGTATTATAGGCATGCTTCCCATGATCTCTTCTTGGGGCACAAAATTAAAAATCTGTAGTTAAAACTATCACAGCTGATCAAAAAGCATGCTGTTTTAAGAAACATCTTCCTCTTTATAATACAGATGGACATCTACATGTAAGGTTGGAATGTTTCCATTCTGTCCACCACTGACCCCAGCACCTTCAGTTTCTAACAAGGTAGCACACTGAATCTGAAGGAGACTGGTTTAAACAGTTTGGACCATGTGGGAAAATAAGGATAAATCATTGTCTTAAAGAGGAGCAAGCATCTGAGTTTTCTGTTTTCATTAGTGCTGTAACAACCTAAAGAAGAGAAGGCAACACATGTTCTGAAACTGTCTTTGTCGCATCCATTTGCCTCTGAACTATGAAACACAAACTATTGATCTTTGCAAGCACTCTACAAACTAGCCAGTTCAAAACTTCTCTTATTGAACAATACACAGTAAGAGCCAATGTACTAGGAAAATTAGAAATTAAAAAATTTACATACTATAGCCTACAAATGGCCACTATCACGATGTAAGCAAAGTATTAGATTACTCACCCAAATGTGATTTAATCAATGCAAAAATGTCAGCATGTCTTTGCTCCTTCCAGGTTCTCAGAAGCAATACCATGGAAGTCAATGATGCTGTGTGATAAGAAATGAGAAGGGCAGAGCTAAACTAGCAGCCAGTTCAGTCACAGTGCATGATTCAAATTAGTAAACCTGAGCCAAGCCAGGGCAAGTCAGCACCAGAAACTGGAAGCCTTTATGAGGTCAGTCTAGCTCTACACCCTCATAAAGGAAATCCCCTCACTTAACATTGCACAAGACCAACTTGATTTTTTCTTTCAGCTTTATTGAAGTATAAATAGTAAACTAAAACTGTCTTTATTTTAGGTGAGCACATTAATATCTTGACATACAAAACCTGAATTGCCACAATCAAACTAGTTTGCATATGTATTACCTTGTTTATAAAATTTTTGTGGTAAATACTCATGAGAACTACCTACTAAGCACATTTAAGAGAGAGTGTTAATGGGGCCACCTTGTATGTTTCATCTATAAAACTTAGTCATCTTGCACAGCTAAAATGTTGATTAGTTATCACCTCATTTCTTCCTTGTCCTGGTTTATTGCAAACAGGGAAAACACTATTCTACTCTCTATTTTTACTATGCATGTGTGAATGAGATACAGTATTCATCTTCCTATGTCTGACATTTATATCACAGGAGATACATTAGATGCCAGATGTGGAACTACAGGATTTAAAATCTTCCCCTATGTTTTGTCTTTCTTCAGTCCCATCATGCCTTGTTATTCTGGAATTTTCTCTTTCAGAATGAAAATGTTTATTCTGTGCTATTTGCACAATCACAGCTAAGAGTGGCTTTGAGTCTTAGAAGAGACTGAACTCAGAATTTTTAAAGAATATTAGTACCGGTAAGGACTTAGAGAGTCTGGAGATGGACTAAATGCATTCTGCATTATGGATGGTCCTGAACCTGTGAAGGCCAAGGGTGCAGTGCTATGGTTTGAATATGAGACACCTCTCACAGAATTATGTGTTGAACACATGATCATCAGGTGATGGCTCTGTCTTGGAAACCTCTGGAAACTTTAGGACCTGAAGGAAATATACCACGGGGATCTTCTTGTCCCTGACTCCTTCCTGTCCCACCCACTGCTTCCCAGACAAAGTGAAGTAAAGGTCCTTAGTCACCATGCTGTTCTGTCTCATTATGGCCAGAAACAGGGACTGGAAGCCACTACCTGACTCCGCTGAAACTATCAGCTAAAATAAATATTTTCTTCTTTAAGCTATTCAGTTAAGTATTTTGGTCATATCAATAATAAGTAACTGGGGATAATTAATGAAAATTGATAAGATATACCTTCTATCAGGATAAAAAATCAAAACCATGTCATTATCTTGATAGATTCAAAAATAAACATTTTACAAAATTCAACAATTTATTAATAATTAAAGAATACTACTGGAAATGCTATACAAGGAATTTATCATGAACGCCATATGTAAAGTTATTTATTTGTTTTGCCTCTCACAAAAAAAAAAGGTTTCCTCTGGGGTAGGAAGTTTATAGATCAGTTATCACTGTATCCTGAAATACATTCATCCTTTAGTTTCCATAAGATGTTGGTCCTTGGAACCCCATATCTACTCATGGATGCTCAAATAATACATTATTTGCATCTAACTTATTAAAATCTTCTCAGTGCTTTAACTTATCCTTAGATTAGTTGTGGTAGCCAATACAATGTAAATCTATAAACAGTTGCTATACCATATTGTGAGGATTAATATAGTTCTCATGAGACCCCAGTAAGTTTCCCTTAGGAATAGATTGCTACCAAAAGAAGAAGAATGATCCCATTATAACCCATGCTGCCACATTTTGTCTTCTAGAGTCAAGAAGATACGACCAGCACATGTTTGTATGGGCACCACAATTTTGTAATAATATTTGGCTAAATGCTGTTTGCACCCACAGATGCACCCATGGTCTAAAGAGCTGCCTTTATTTATGAGTTTGAACAGTCCTTCTATCTTAGATAAAGAGAGGGATATACTCAGCAAAGGGGGAGATTCTGACTCCCCAGCCACTACAGTGGAAAGAGTGGGAGAGATTAAGTATTTCACAAATTAGATACCAGAGTGAGGATGTAACGTCTCATCAACCATTGAGAATGGGTACCATTCCAGCAGGGACTCACGGGACTCATGCATAGATGGTATCTCAGTTCATAAATATAGTCACACCCAAACTGAGGACTTATTGATTTATGAACCAATTTGTGAACCATTTGTAGTATGAATCAATATCTTGTTCATGCTCCTTAAGAACCTCCCAGGCTAACCAGTAATTACTTAAGACACTTCTAATAGACAAATCTTCAAACCCTAAGCCACAGTCCCCTCAGTCCCAGCCCAAAATGACCAGAACTCTGGAGGGACTGAGACCAATTCAGCTTTGGTATTATTTGGAAAAGCACAAAAACAGTTAAGTCTTTAAAGTCTTATAGAATGGAGGAATGGCTATACAGGAAACTATGTGGTAAAACCTATGAGTATAAAATTATGATTGAAAGTTGATATTTTCCTGAAGATTTCAGATTGGCATTGTGGTTTCTGTTTATGGCAACTGAGGCTAAGTTATAGATTATCAGCAGTTTTCTTTACTGTGCATATAAATATTGATTGATTATAAAACCAAATAGAATCCTTCACTCTCCCTTCTCATCCACCCTACTTAACTAATCAATCACCCTGTGACCACCTCCAAGTCAATTTCTGTTAGAACCAATATCATGACATCTGGAATTTTAAACAGATTTCTAGTAATTTGAATAAGAACTGAATCTCCACAGCAGCTGACTTTTGATAAAGTATTCCCAAACAATCTGAGAAATATACCTAATAATATCAGCACACCATAATGCCTTTCCCCTTTTGATGGTGCTATGGTTTGGCTATAGTATAAGTGTCCCTTCAAAGTCTGTGTGCTGGAGGTTGCTGAGGCAGAGACTCCTTATGGGTTGGGGCATGGTAGAAGATAATTAGGTCATTCAGTGTGCCACCCACAGAAAGGTTGGATTCCCACAGAAGTGAGTTGTTTTGAAAAGCAAGCTGGCCTCATCCCAGTCTCACCACTTGATCTCTCAAGTACTCCCTTAGTGGTGATGACACACTTCGTGGAGCCCTTGCCAGAACTGAACAGATAGAGATGCAGATCGCTGATTTATAATTACCAGCTTCCAAAACTGTGAATTAAATAAACCCCTTTGCAAAATACCTGGAGTCACTCGTGCATTCTGCTCTATCAACAGAAAATAGACTAGGAAGACAGGAAAAGTGCAGTGATATATCAAGAGGCTCATAGTACTTGGGGAAATTTTCTTCTCCTAGCAACAACAGGGATTTTCTTAAGTAAGCCATTTCTCCTCCTGAAATACATAAAGTGGTTTCATGGTAAATAAGTATGGTTTTAAGAAGAGTGCACCACTCTTAAAATGACAAGTTGGAAACCATTGCTGCAGCCGTGGATGGCCAAAAAGGAGCTCACATGAAAGTTTTGGGGGTTGGGTGTGTCCTTCAGTCATTTAATTATAATTATACAGTAATTGTGCTGAATAGGATCATAATGATCGCCAATAACGCCTGTGTACTGTGTCTACTCATCATCTAACAGTGCCAAGTACTGTACATGCATTGGCTCTGATTTGGAGGGCTGTCCTGTGATATATTACTCTGTCCTAACAGCTAACCCAGATGTTGTTATAGAGGAAACACAAGTGTCGGGAGTATTTGTAAATAACAAAAGCAACAATTATAAAAATAATATTATGTTGGCTAGGTAGTGTCAATGACAAAGAAAGATGAGGGGTTTTTTTTCTTAGTCTAACTTCTGAGAAAGTATATGAGTTTCAAAATGTTGACCCTGCTTCCTGGCTCTTTGGTCTAGTACAGGAGAAGAAAAGCAGTAGTAGTTAGTGACACCCACAAAGGAGGTGATTTCCAACTGAGTCAAATTCTCTTTAAGGGAGTGTATCAGAAAGGTTTCCCAGAGAAATTAAATCATGATTGTGGCCCACGGTACCCGAGATAAAGTATGTGGAGGAATAATTAGAATCAAGGCATGGCCCAGCTCAGAGAAAATGGAATTCCATTTTAAAAGTTTCCATCTTTAGATGGTCTGCTGATTCCTTCAAATTACACCCCTACCTATTCCTGCTACTTTCCCTGGACTGCCACTACCTAGTTCTAATTGTTTCTGATGAGATCTGGAGGGCAGGAAGGGAAAGCGACTGGACAGATTAGAGGGAAGTCTGAGTTCTTATGGTACTCTTCATTCAGATTAACTTTGCTTCTCCAAAGAAGATATGTTTAGCATGATTTTAAGGAAGTTTCTAGCACTTTCTAAATCTCCATTTACTTTTTAATTTGGTAAAATTTTAAAAATATCACAAACTCTTTTCTTATCATCATAACAGTTCCCCAAATAGGCTGTTCCAAGAAATGTTGAAAAGATTTTTTAAATGAAACAATGGACACATGATGAGTTACTAAATAAGTGGAGCTACAGCCCAAAACTAGCCCCTTCATCCCGGAGACTGGGATGCTTCACAGAATCAGGCAGAGTTTCTGAGATCTCACTAACCAACAGAGACAGACAGATCCTGTCGAGATTTTCTTTCACAAAGTGAAGGACAAACTGTGTGTTATTTGCTTTTCATGTTGCTGTGGCAAAAACTTTACAAGAGGCAATTTAAGGAAGGAAGGATTTTACTTTAGCTCGTGGATAGATGCAGTCCATTGTGGTGGGAAGACACAGCGGTGGGAGCATGTGGCTGGTTCTCCTCACCTCCACATATCTTGAAAGAAGAGAAAGAAAAGATGGGGTAAGATATAGGGGTGGGTTATTAAATGTGCTGAACCCTAACTGGTTCTGTATTTGGAAGAAGTATAAAAACCTTCAAATTTCTCTGCAGGATACAGAAAGAGAGATCTAGACACCAACCCAGCCACAAAACCTTCAACCTACAATCTGTCCTGCCTGCAAGACTGTGGCACAGAACTTGTGGGAGTGGCTAAGCAATGACTGCTTTAACTTGAGGCCC